ACTATAGATGAATTACACATTTGATTAGTTCCCGTTTTGTTAACTCAATTCTGTGGGCTGGCCACGCCCACGCTTCTTTTCTTAGCCATGACAACAAAATTCATAGATGTGTGTGTGTGCACTTGTGTGTGTGTTCGTTTTTCATTTTGTTTTGTTTTTAAAGCTTTTTCTTACAAACGTTTGAATTTCATTATTTTTAACTCAGTTGCTGCAGTTGCATTTGCATTTGCAGTTGTTGTTGTTGTTGTTGTTGTTGTTGTTATTTTGAATACCCTTGCAGCAAGCATATATACATACATATACATACACATATAGAGTTTTCTATTGACCCTGTCATAGGAACAATTGCATTTGAAAATTAAAAAATTTTAAAAAAATAAATAAATAAATAAAAATAATATAAATAATAAAAAAATGATTTTTAATATTTTACTTTAATTTTTAATAATTTTTCTTAATGTTTTTCGTTGCTGTTTTTCCATAAACAATTGTTCCTTAAATATATCCATCCAATATTAATCCAACTTCTATATATCATATATATATGTACATATGTATATATTCCACTTCGCTGCGAAAATATTTCCAAATAATTCAGTTTTTTTTGTTCTTTCAAATTATAGTAAAAGTTCTTTAGTTAATTCATGTTTCTGCTTGATTATATTCCATTCGTTTTTGTACATAATTAATTTAGTTATTTACACAAACAAAACGAAAAAAATAAAATAGTACGCTTAAATTATAGAAAAAAAAAAAAGACTTAAAATAATTTAAAAATAATTAATTAAATGTTTAATGTATAAAAAAAAATTAAATGTGGCTTAAACATAATTTGTGGCTAAAAGTAAAAAAAAAAAATATGTTAAATTTTAATTACAATTAAAAATATTTTGTTTTTATTTGTGTTTGTTTTAATGTATGACAATTGCTTAGGTATATATAAGTGTGTGTGTGTGTGGGTGGGTGTGGGGCGGGGCTTGATATGTTTCTGTTTTTGTTTTTGTTTTTAGTTTTTTGTTGGCTTTTGGAAGTAATTAATTAATTATATTTGAATTAAATTTAACAATTAAAAAACAAACAAAAAAAAATAGTTTTTTTTCTTTTGTTGACATCTTCTTCTTTTTAGACTTTTCCTTAAGCTGTAACTTACAAGGCCCAGGAAGAGGCCCTAGGCCACGCCCCCAAACGCTTGCTAAGGTGGGTGGTTCGATGGCTGCTGCGGCTGCCGCTTAGGCCAGCAGCGTGATGGGCGCCGCCCGGCTGCTGCTGTTGGGCGTGGCCGTCGGCGGACCGCCAGCCGCAGCGGAGTTAAGACGTGCCAGCGCCTCCTGGTCGAGCCAGCGCTGCAGCTGCTGCTGCTGCATCAGGTTGTCGTTGTAGACGGGGGCATGCAGCTGCAGACTGAGGCTGTAGCCGTGCGTGGAGGAGGAGCTGGCGCTGGGGCTGTCGCTGTAGGTGGAGGAGCTGCTCTCGTAGCCGGACACGGGCGAGCCCTTGGGGCAGCAGAAGCCGATGGGCGAGAGCGCCGGCGCCGAGAAGGGGCTGAGCACGTTGATTGTGGGCGTGGCGGGCTTGCTGCCCCCACAATTGCTGCTGTTGCTGCTGTTGCTGCTGCTGCTGCTGCAGCTGTTGCTGCCTTGAAAGTGCTGCTGCTGCTGCTGCTGCTGAGGACTCCCGGCGTGAAACGGCGGCAGCGCTGCCGCGCCGGCTGCATAGGGCATCAGCAGCGATGGCGGCGGCGGCGACTGAAAGCAACTGTTGCTGCTGCCGCCGGCAAAGGGATGATTGCTCCAGATGATCGGCTCCCGCTGCTTGGGCGTCACGCGCTTCTTCTTCTTGCTGCTTGCGCCGCTGCTGCCATTGAGCGTGGCGTGCTCCTCGTCATCGGCATCCGCATCGCACTCGTCCTCGACGCGCAGCTCCAGCTGCTCCGGCTCCTGCTCCTGCTCCTGCTCTCGCTCCCGCTCCTCCTCCTCCTGGGCTGCACTCTCGTCCAGCAGATAGGGCTTGAAGAGCTTCACCTGCTTGGCGGGCAGCTTGTGCTCGGCAACAGTTGCTGCTGCCGCTGCTGTTGCCGCCTCAGTCTCGGCCTCCGCCTCCGCTTCCGCCTCCACATCGATGTCCACGTCGTCCTCCGCCTCGTTGTCGCTGGGCTCGCTCTTGATGGCCTCCAGTTTGCTCAGCTTGTCCGCCGGGCTGCTGCTGCTGCCGCTGCTGTCGCCATGCCACAGCGTTTGGGCCGCGCGCTTGCGACAACCCAGCGGCAATGATTGCTGCTGCTGCTGCTGTTGGTCTAGCTGCAACTGTTGCTGCTGCTCGCGCTGGCGTCGCGCCGCGCTGCTCAGCGACAAATCCATGGGCGCGGGCAGTGTCAAATAGTAGGCGTAGGGCAGCGGCTGTTGTTGCGCCGTTGCATGTTGCTGCGGTGCGGGCTGAGGAATGTGCTGGCTGCTGCTGTTGCTGCTGTCGTTGTTATTGCTGTTGCTGTTGTTGCTGGTGGGTATTGGCACGGCATTTGGCACTTGTTGCTGCTGTAGACTTGAGCAATATGGCAACGTTGTGGCGCTGCTGCAACTGTTGCTGCTGTTGCTGTTGCTGCTGCTGCTGTTGTTGTTGTTGTGGCAATTGTTGGTGGTGTTGCTGCTGCTGCTGCTGTTGTTGCTGGCAAAGGCTGCCACCACAGCGGCAATTTTGGCTGCCGACAGCGTGTAGCTGCTGCTGCCAGTGCCGCCGGCAACAGTTGCTGCCGTACCATTGCTGTGGGGCAGCAGAGGCGGCGGCGGTGGTGGCGGCGCCAGTGGCGGGGCTGCCGCTGCGGCCGCCAACTGATGCGGATGCGGATGGGCATGGGGCGTGGCAAATCCGTTCGCCAGCATCGGATGAGAGCGCGCGGCAGCAAATGCTGCTGCCAGAGAGGCGGCCGCTGCCGCCTGGTAATGGCGATGATGATGCTGGGCGGCGACCAGGGCGTGGGGCAGCTGATGGAACTGGTGCGGCTTCATTGGCGCTGCTGGCGGCACCAACTGTTGCGGCGGTGGCGGCGGCTGCAGCTGTTGCTGCTGGTGCAGATGCTGCTGCTGCTGCAATTGCTGCTGATGCTGATGCTGCTGCTGCAATTGTTGCTGCTGCTGTTGCTGCTGGTGCAAATGCTGCTGCTGCTGTTGCTGCTGCTGCTGCTGCTGATGCTGATGCTGATTGTTGGCCACCGACGAGCGCAAATTGGGCTCGCATTGCAGCCACTTCTGTATCTGCCGCCGGTGGATGTTGTACTTGCGCGCCGTCGCGCGCTGGTTGCCCTTGCAGTCGTTGTCATGGCGGTACGACTCGAGCACCTGCAGCTTGAACTGCGGCGTGAAGATGCGACGTGAACCCATTTTGGGGCTGCAGGCGCTGCTGCTGCTGCTGTTGCTGTTACTGTTGCCAATGCTGTTGCCATTGCCATTGCTGTTGCTGTTGCTGTTGCTGGCACTGCCATTGCTATGGCGCTCAGCAACAGTTGCTGTCGAGTCCTTGGCAGGTCGCTTGTGTTGCTCCTGTTGGTTAAAGCTCAATGCGGCGGCTGCTGCCATGGCTGCTGCTGCTGCGGCGGCGGCGGCAATGCTGCTGTTGCTGCTGCTGCTGCTGCTGTTGTTGTTGTTATTATTGTTGTTTATCGAACTTTGTTCGCTGTTATCCATTTTAGTTGCTCGGGCAATATTTGCCTTGTAGTTTGTAAAACGTTTTGTATATCAAAAATAGTATTTACAATATAACGTATTTATATATACTTCTTTATAAATATATACAGTTAGTTTTCAATGTGCTTCAACAGTTGTTGGTGGCGTTGTTGTTGTAGCTGTTGCTACTTGCTGGCGACGCTGGCGACGCTTGCGCTTTCATAACTCGCGATCTGGCAGCGCTGGCACTGGAAACAAGTGAGCGCAACAACAAAAACACGTTAACGTTGTCGTCTTGGAAAAACAACGAGAAACAAAAAGTTGTTGTTTTTTATTTGATATTTGTTTTTTGGTTGCTTTTTGTATTTGTTTTTAATTTTACTTTTTGTTTTTGCTTTTTGATTTTTCTTTTGTATTGGTTGTTGCTTTGATATTCTTATTAATATTATTATTTGTAATTTGCTTGTGGACTGTTGTAAATGTTAGATGAAAGAACACATGAGCACAACACAAAAAAAATATAGTATATATTTGTACATATGTGAAATTTGTAGCTTGAATTCATTTGCACACACAAAAACACACAGAGAAAAATATTGTTGCTCTTGTTTGGCAACGCGACGCGATCCGCAACCGCACGGCAAGGAATCCAAAACACAATTGTTCTGCCCGCTGCGTTCTACGTTCTAGACTGGCTGGCCCGTCGTTGTCGGCGCTGCTGCTGCTGCTGCTGCTGGCGCTGCCGCTCACACACACACACACACTTATACACGTACACGACGTAGACGTACAAGTGTGCGCGCGAGAACGAAACGAAACGAATCGAACTGAAATGAACGAATGAACGCAGCACTAGCACAGCGCACAGCTCACGCGCGCGCCTCTCAGTCTGAGAGTATGAGTGCAGTCGACGCTCTGTCTGCCTGTGTGCGTGTGCCTGTATGTGCGTGTGTGTGTGCCTGCGTATCAGTGTGCGTTCTAATAGCTCATCAGGCGAAGTCGCAGCAGCAACAGCAACAACGCCGACAGCGCAGCAAGTGTGCGTGCATCTGTGTGTGAGTGTGAACGAGTCAGACACTTGGCGGGCCCAAGAGTCGCCGCCGCCGCCGCCAGACCAAACCAGTTGTTGTTATTGCTATTGTTGTTGTTGTTGCTGCTATTGCTGTTGTTGCTTTTGCAGCCAAGCCAGCAGCAACAGCGCTGAGCATTGCAGACAAACTGACGACAATCGTCGGCGAGGTGTCTGCGCTCCTGTATTATGCATGCATGTACATATGTATGCATGTGTGCGTGTATGTGCCTATGTGTGTGTGTGTGTGTGAGTGAATATGTTGAATGACTGTGAGTGTATGTGTGTGAGAATACTTCTTGTTGTGCTCATGATGGAATAACATACAAATAAATATATGTATATGTGTGTATATATATACATTTATATACATATGTA